CTCTGCCTCCCAAGTGCTGGGATTAAAGGCGTGCGCCACCACCGCCCGGCTCATACTTTTTTTTTAATACTAGAAGAATTAAAAAAAAATTTTTTAAGCTTTAAAAAGTAAAACAGGGGCTGTAGAAATAACTCAGAAGTTAAGAGCACTGGCTGCTCTTGCAGAGGACCTGGGTTTGAATCCTAACAAAGTCCTATCTATATCTCTAGTCCCAGGGAATCTGACACTTCTGGACTCCACCAGCACTGTACACACATGGCACATAGAGGTACACATAAAAATTAAGACATCTTTAAAAAAAAGTAGAGTCATGTCATTAAGTTAAATTCCAGTAAACTTAACTTCATCAGAATTGTACTAAGTTAGAAATTTAAGTGTTACATTAAGAAAGACCATAGAAAATATTACTTTATGCAAAAGCTATAAGTTGATAAGTCATCAAATGTATGTGATAATATCATGACAAAAATGGACTTTAGTAGCATTGAACACATAAGGAATGAAAGCTGCCGGACCACGTAAAACCTCTTAGCTTACTAAAGTATACTCATTTAAAAAAAAAAAAAAAGATTTCCAAAATAAATCAAAGGCATAGTTCCCCAGAAAACACTTAGTTGTACTGCTAGTCATAAATTAACTCTGTTAACTACATCAGTTACAAATGTACAAGAGCGTTATAAAAACAGATTGTAGATCTCAGAATACAGAAATAAGTAACAACCGACTCTTCTAGAAAACAGAAGCGTTTGCTCTCCAGTGCTCCTCACCAGCTGTGCTGTAGGGAAAATTAAGTATTGCTTAATTTTTTGTTGTGAATTCTATGGTTTTTGTTTTGTCCCTTTCTTAAAAAACAAACAAACAGTATTGAGGATAAAATGAACAGATTTTAAATTTGCAAGGATTTAAAAACAAAGACAATGTGGCAAGGTAAACAACTTGAACTTTTATTGTCAAAAAATTGAGTATTTTAAACCCACAAATTTTGGGTTAACAGTATTTTTTTTTTTTTTTTTTTTTTTTTTATTTTGAGGGAGGGTCTCTGTAGCTTTGCGCCTTTCCTGGAACTCACTTGGTAGCCCAGACTGGCCTCGAACTCACAGAGATCCACCTGGCTCTGCCTCCCGAGTGCTGGGAT